GAATCCTTTGCTTGATACACCTCCTTCAATGGAGGATCCTCTAAAAGCTTGCTTGGCTCATTTCAATTGTGAGGATTTTGATGTTGACAATTCTATTTGGGAGGTAAATTCTTTGCTTGATATTCCTTTACCCATTCACTATCTTCCTTGGGCAACATTAAATGTATCTCTTTCTTAGGAGCTTGTATCTCCTCCCATTCCCTCACTTGAGTTATCTCAAGCTGTTGAGCCCGAACCGTCGGATAAGCGTGAGGAGGATGTTAAAAGTCTGAAGGATAATTTTTTGAGGATTCCGTGCTCAATATAACCCTTTACAAGTCTTTGCTTGATGTGCGCTCGCTTGATCCACCTTCCCATAATCCAAAACAACCCCATAATCCAAAGTTCCTCATTGAGGATGAAGAGTGGGATGAGGTCTTTCCATTACCTCTTTTCAAATTTTATCTTCAAGCTCTTTTTCCTCCGCTTTTAAAAGAACTTTCTTATTTGGGGAAATATAACTCTCTAGAAAGACTTGGTGTAGGGTAAACCCTATTTTAAGATTCGTCTAGCTATCGACATTAAATTTAGCACTAATGGTAAGCAATTCTTCTAATTTCCAAGCTTCCCTCCTTCAAGTTGCCTTGGCTAAGAATTTTCTGGAAATTCGCTAAGTATAGCCAAAATGTGACCTCTTATAGAATTGTCTCGAATTGTATTCCAAAAGTCACGTGCAATTTTCTTAGTCATTTTAAGGTCTCGGTGCCATTTTCGGAATTTTTCAAGGTCATTATGACAATTTTCTCGACAAATCCAAAAATCACGGGAAATTCGGACCTTAAACATATCGCTTTTGCAAAATGAGCTCCGATTCTCGTTCCGAAGGTTCTATAAGGTGTCTAGGGTCTATCGAAGTTTAAATTTCAAATTTGAGAATTTTTCGACCCCGGCCCGGGCTCCGTTAGGCCAAAAATTCAATTTAGAAAGTTTTCTAGCCCAACCCCCGCGAGCGCCAGCCAAAACAGGCAGTGGGCTTTTCAAGGTCGTGGGGCCACGCCAATCCTTACGGGGACCAGCCGAGTGCCCATGGGACCAAGTCTGACAAGGCGCGGACGCCCGCCCTATGCTGCGGGCGCCTGCCGCCCTTTGCAGATTCATTAAAATGGGCCATTTTAAGCCCATTTTCAAATTCTAACTCTCCCCTTCTCTCAACCTGCGACCCCAAACCCTTCAACCCTTCAATTCCATTATTCCTCTCCTCTTTTTCTTCCTCACTTCTTCCTCTCTATCATCTATCTCCATCATCTCTCATCCATATTCCTCATCATCCCATCCTTTTGAACCAACAAGGGAGCTTTTAGTTCTTCAACTTAGGGTTAGTCTTCTTCTCCATTTCTTTCAATTTGTGGATCAATGGAGGACGGGATTGATTATGTGGAGGATTTGCAATTGTTTGGGGTTGTGTTTTGTTGATTGCAGGGTAAAATTTTTAGGTTTTCAAGTTTATAATCCACATTTGGCTCTCTTCCATTTTGTTTTGCACACCAGGTGTTCAACAAATTGCCTAAGCCAACTTCATCTCTGTAAATGGCACCACTTTTGGCATTTTTTGTTATCTGTTTTAAACTTGTGGCTTATTTCGTTATGTGCGGATTTGTGTTTTATGTGGATTTTTATGTTTCAATAAAATTCATGTTTGTGTTATTAATTCTATTTTAGTTTTTCTTAAGAGACCTATGCTTTTACATGTGTATATTAGTTGTGTTTTAACAGGTCTTCATGTCCAAGTTTTGGAGAAGATCATTTTGGCATCCCTTCATAGGATTGTATGCAACTCCAATGCCAGAATTGCCCCACTGACTTGGTATTATTATTCCTTTTACCCCCTATACTCTTTACTTATACATCTTTGTCTTCACACATTGAGGACAATGTGTCATACAAGTTTGGGGGTATTGTGTGTTGCATAGTGTTTGCATTCGTATTGTGTATTGTATAGTGTTTGCATTTGTTATTTTGTTTCAAATAAATTGGTATAAAACTGAAAATAAAAAATAAAAAATAAAATAAAATAAAAATGGAAGCAATGATTTTTTAGTCTTGGAATTTGTTGGGGATTGAAGCATGTGTTGAATACTTTGTGTATAGAGGAAAATGATAGTTTTGAATTGAGGAAAATCTGAAATGAGTATGTGGCTTCAAAATGGTTGTATAAATGCTTCAATTAGATTATCTTCGAGTATCACTCTCTTCTATGCTTCACACTTCACATATGCACACCGGAAACTTAATTGTGAGGCATGCAACCCGATTTACCTTGACCATGACTTAGTTGATTTGAAATGATAACCCTAATGAATGGATATCTTTGGCATTGATATAAAAAAAAATATGAATAAGGATAATGACTAGTTTAAGTTCATAACCTTGCTAACTTGAGTTATTAAGCCCTTGGAGTGTCCTTACACTTAGCACCCTAAAGCTATCTGGTTTAGGAGTTGCTGGCCTAACATTTGCTACATGGGTCGGTTAGAAAGCTTAAGGGACTTCGGCATTGCACGACCATAATATGTATTTAAAAAAATAAAAAATAAAAAAAGTAATAATAAAAATAAAATAGTTGTGTTTTGAATAAAATCATGCCTTAGAGACCTCATTTAAAAGGAAATTCAATGAATTGAAAACTTGTGTTCTTGAAATTGGAACAAGAGGGTAAAAGCTGCATATTGGAAATCCGGTTCACTTTAAATGAAACTAGAGATGATTTCTATTATAGATATGACAATTGAAGTATTTATATAGACTATGATGTTAATACATGAGAGTTAAAAGATGATTAGCCATTTTGTTTTATCAATACTTCATATACACAAGGTAGTCTTCATAATGATTCCATCTCCAATGTTCTTTATGTTCTAAGTTTGCAAATGAGCTTTATGCATCTTCATGCAACATGTTGATGTTTGTAGGTAACATTCCTGTTAAACCCTCACAAGACTTCATTCGTCCTCTAGGGATGCCTAGGGGTTTAAAAGAATTTTTGCATATGCTAAATGCAACTGTCACTCCCACAAAAGAGGAGAGTTGTTGTCATTTCATTAAGTATTTTTATTCTAGTTTTGCTATGGGACTAGCAAAATGTAAGTTTAGGGGTGTGATAAGTGCCGAATATTCCATATTCAAGTGCCCTTATTTGCATTAGTTTAGTCCATTCATTGATCATATTATACATATTAGCTTCATTTGCGTGTTTTTGTTCATTTTCAGGTTGGTGCCCCAAAGATAGTTAAAAGCGCTGTTTTGTTAAGTTTATGAAGAATTAAAGCATGCTGTTGCTGGGGATCTTCACTTTGGCCAAGCCAGAGACCCATTAATCTCATGTTTTCCCGGCAAAAAAGTGCTAAGGATGATACCTGTCAAAGAGGACCGAGCCCAAAAGCAACCTAGCAACAGTGAAGTTCAACTTTGTTCTTCATTTTTGACCTACCAAACTTGAGAATTGGACTCCTATTACATCACGTACATAGATCTTTGAGTTAGCTTTCCAAATCATTAAACGGTTCATCATTTGGAGTTTGGAGCAAAGAGTTATGTCATTTTTACCCCAGGTGTGCAATGCTGAAATTTATAGCCTGGCGGTAGTGAAATCCGACTTTGTTCTTCATTTTTGACCCACCAAACTTAATAATTGGACTTCCATTAAAGCATGACATACATAGATCCTTGAGTTAGCTTTCTAAATCATCAAATGGTTCATCATTTGGAGTTTAGAACAGGGAGTTATGGCCTTTTTACCAAAGGTGCGCAGAGCTGAGGAACAACCGTGGGCGCCCGCCGTTTTGGGCAGAATCTTCGAGCTTCCACGAGCGCCCGCCCTGCACATGCGGGCACCCGCCACTTCGCAGACATGTGAGCATGGTCTACATTATTTCCTTCAAGGCTATCCCCTTGACCCATTTTGTGTGGTATTGCACTCTCCTCGGGATTATGGACCACAAAATTGGAGTGGTTAGAAGTCTATGGTGGCATATAGAAAGGCTAGGAGGGTTGTATTTTGGGGATCTCATTTTTTTTGAAGGCTCGAGAGAAATATTGTGAGGTTAGAGGGTTTGTATGTTCTTGACCCTTAAGGTGCGAAAACAGAAGGCATCATCCTCTCTTCTCCTTCCTCCATTGCTCCTATGGGTAACTAACTCCCTATCTAGGGAGGTGATGAAGCCTTTCTTTGTAAGTATGCCTTAGTTTCAGTTAATTTAGGGAATCATTCATGTATATGGTAGTTTCATGATTTAGAGTACTTAAACTTGTTGTAATGGATTTTAATGCCTATAAATGATCATGTTGAGTTTATTATCTTGTCTTAGATTTTATCCTCTCATGATTATATAGCTTGCATCTTCATAGTGAGAATGGAAATGAAATTGTGAAATGGGTTTAATGGCATGTTGTATGAGAAACTTGATATTCCATAGCTTAGGGCTTTCCTTTGATGGACTACTCTTGATTCTTGACTTCATGTGCTTTTATCATTTGATTGAGGGTTTGATAATCCCTAGCTTAGTGAGCATATCATGACTACACCCTAGTTTAGGTAGTTCAAGTATGTGGAACTTTGAGGGGTTATACTTAAGTCTTAATCCTATGAACTTCTTGAAGATAATGTAGCAATCTAGTATTGCTCATATCATTGCCATACATTGACATTATTTCCCAAGTTAATTGAAATCTAGTACGTTTATGTGGAAGGTAGTGGATTCACTTCCCTAGTCCCCTCTACATTATTTTCATCTCTTCAATTCCTTGCAACTATCGTTTTATGTAATTTTAATTCCTAATTCTAGTGACAAACCAATTAAAACTCTATACCCCCTTTCATCAAACTAAGAGTGAATTTAAAGACCTTGGTTGCCATAAACTAGCAGTCCCAATGGTTCGACTTACCCATCCAATAGCCCTATTTTACAATGATTTGTGCTATTGCAAAAGGTTGATTTATTATAGAACGAATCTTAACCGATTATATGGTCTCAAACAGGCACTGCAAGTTTTCCAAATTCAGTCAGACTATCTCTGGACTTGGCTATTCTGCTAGTCTATATGACTCTGCTTTATTTATTCAATGCACCAGTCGAGGTATCATTCTTCTTTTACTTTATATTGATGATATGATCATTACTGAAGATGATTTGATGGGAATTCAGGACCTTAAACAATTTCTTAATCTTCGGTTCGAGATGAAAGATCTTGGACCCCTCAGTTATTTTCTTGGTTTTGAGATAACTACATCTATAGATGGTTACTATCTTACTCAGGCGAAATATGTATCTAATGTTCTCTCAAAATCAGGTCTCACTGATAGCAAGATTGTTGATACCCCCCTTGAGTGCAATACAAGACTTAATCTACATGATGGAAAATCTCTTCGAGATGGTACTTCGTATCACCAATTGATGAGTGGTCTACTTTATCTTAATGTCACTCATCCTAACATCTCTCATGTCGTCCACATAGCTAGTCAGTTCATGATTGCCCCTCGGTCCACTCATTTTGTTGTTATTCATCGGATTTTTCGTTATCTCAAAGGCACTATGTTTTATGGATTGCATTTTTCTTCCCAATCATTGCTTATTCTTCGTGCCTATTCAAATGCAGACCAGGCAGGAGACCCTACAGATCGTTATTCCACCATAGGCTATTGTTTCTTTCTTGGTGATTCACTTATCTCTTAGTGCAGCAAGAAATAGACTGTGGTTGCACGATCTGGCACAGAAGCTGAATATAGGGCGCTTGCTAATACACTTCTGAGCTTCTGTGGTTGCGTTGGCTCCTTTAAGACATGGGAGTTTCTTCAGCCACTGCCACTCCTATTTATTCTGATAATAGAAGTGTAATTCAGATTACACATAATGATGTTTTTCATGAGGGCACTAAACATATTGAGATTGACTGTCGTTTTGTTCATCATCATCTTCTTTAGAAGATCTTATAATTGTGGTCTATCAGTTCACATGATCAAATCGCTGATGTTTTCACCAAATCACTTCCGCCATGCTGCTTTTAAGATCTTATTTCCAAACTCAAGTTAGTTTCATTCAATCCACCTTGATTTTAGGAGGGGTTGTTAGAATATATTAGAATTACTATATTGTATAATATATTCTACCTTATATAGGATTACTATATATAATATTCTAACCTTGTATAAGATTACCATATATATAGTTACCATATACATATAGGGTTACTTGTTCATCACACATAACCCTTCCTATATAAACCCCTCTTGTATACATCTTATTATATATCAATATACAATACATTGTTCTCTCTTTTGTATTTAACAATAAGAATAAATAATAAACCTGTAAAGATTGAAATCTAAATAATAAATCCTCCATTTAATAATCCAATAAAATAAATCCTTCATTAAAAAAAAAAAAAACAAAAAACAAAAAACGAAAAAAAAAAAAAGAAAACAAACCCTCTGATACCAGTAACCATCTAGATTACAACTCGGGAATCCATAATATGGATCCTTAATCAAAATCCCAACTAGAAATAATAATCCAAACTGAAAACTGAAAACATAAACAAGAATCCTACGTAGAATAGAAGAGTGAAGTAGACTGGTCTCTACTCAGCACGAACAATCTCTACACCTGACGAACACCTAAAAAATAATAGTAAGTCAAGCCCACGAACAAGTTCTACTCTACTACATCCCAAACAGAGACCCGATACACATATACATCCTACTCAACTCATATAATAACTACATAGTTCATATATACATAGATATACACTAAAGGACTCTCACTGGAATATAGGATGGCCTTAACCTGGATAATAAATAACATGCAAAAAGTACACATAGTGAGCACGAGTACCATGATCTACCAAGGCACACAACTATCAACTAGATCCAACTATGCATCCTAGACAAAATACACTCCCTAACCACTGATCCTGAGACTCAAGCTCATATCATGGCATATATATATATATATATATATATATATATATATATATATATATATTCATCCTATCCAGAATATAAAAGTAAACTAGCCGTCATAATCTTTCAGTGGCATGTCATCTACTTGGTTTCGTAACCTGACAGAATAGATGGGACTTAACTTAATAGCCAGTCCATCCATAATATGCCCCTATATCTTGACAATGATGTATTAATCCATAACCAATCAATGGTTTCCTCGTAATCCAACAATTGATGAAACATATACATTTATACATCAAATAATCCAGAAATAACATAATATACATCATATAGATATTCATTGCATTTATTTAAACAATAATAACAATTTAAATAGTATGTAGTTAACTTACATCCCAAGTAATTAGCCTATATCTCATTTAAAATAAGTAAACCTCCGTAGATATGATTAAAATCATTTAAGCACCTATTTCAATTGTTAAGACAATTAAATTAATAAAAATATCCATTAAACAACTTAGAAGTTATTTAAACATCCAAAATATCCAAGTCTTTAGCATATTTAAGTTTATTGTGCATTTTGGGAATTTTCTAAGTCCAATTAATCCATTTAAATTAATTAAAATAGATTAAAACAAATTCTTGGAACTTAAAACGCTAAACCCCAGGTCTCAGCCTAACTAAGTCGGCTCCTTCTCTGAACGAGTCGACTCGATTCCCAACTGAGTCGGCTCGTTCTCAATTGAGTCGGCTCATTCATTAGTCCAGTCGACTCTGTTCCAATTGAGTTGACTCGTTTAGCAACTCGTTCTTGTTGCGAGTCATCTTCTCCAATTCCGGCAACCTCTGCTTGTTCTGATCTCCTCCGTTAATGGTCCTAAGTGTTTGTACTAAGTCGCACACGATCCCAAATAATTATTTTAAGACATTATGTATTTATAGAATGAATCAAAACAAGCTTTCATGCATCAAAGTTCAAAAACCAAATAAACAGATACACATAACATATATTCTGGTTTTAATCTGTTTAAGCATACAATTATAGTCGATTTTACTATTTAATAATTTTCCTAGGCATATATAGAACACATGATCAAAGGAGAAGAGTTAGAAGAAGAACTTACCTTTAAGGTTTCGGATTGAAAACCCTAAACTCCTTCTTCGGCCAAAACTTCAACGCCAGCAGCCTCTAGTTGTCATCGTGCTCCCTCTGCTAACCTGGTTATACATTATGCACAACCCTTCTTCTTCCTCCTAGAGTTCGGCCTTGAACCCTTGGCCACACCTTCCTTTCTCTCTCTAAAACTCTTGACCTTCTCTCTCTATATATCTCGCCTCCAGCCTTTATGTCTGATAATGGGTTTGTAACCCTTTTTACATACCATCATATGTATATATATAGGATATACATAATCCCACTACAACTTATGTAACTTAGGGAAAAAGAAAAGAAAAAAAAAAAAAAGAGGAACCTATATATATATATATATATATCATCTGATATACGTATAACATATATAATTAATTACACGTTAATATAACGTACATACAATCGACTAACCATAAAATACTATTATTAATATTATAAATAATAATAATTGTAATAATAATAATCATAACCTCCTTATATATAAATATATCCTTATATACATACAACTAATACCCATGAGTAAGTATTCATACCCATCATGACTCCAATCCAAGTAGTCCATGCGATCTATTGGGTTGGTCCATTACTACTATCCAAATCCAACTCCCTTAAAATAAAAATAAAAATAAAACATTTAATTCCTAAATTATTACACATAATCACATAGCATTTAAACAAATAATTTCATACCAAAAATTAATTAAAATACACAATTTAAGCACATAATCAATTTAAATAATTAATTCAATTAAACACAAAAACAATTAGCCATGTAATCAAATAATCAATTAAAAATACAATAAAATAAATAAATGAATCCCAATACTATCCTTTTAAAATTAAGGGTATTACAACTATATTAAGGGTGTCGAACCTCAAGGACTGTGGTGGATTGTTACGGATAATATTAATTGCTAATTTGTTTAAGAGAAGAAAGAATTTTGATATTTTCTATCTCTAAATTGCAAACAAAATAAAAACTAAAAATAAACTAAGCTATTAAGCAGACATATCAAGAGATAAGGGACTTAGGGTATTGACTTCACCACTAGTCTTGTAACATGGTCAATTTTTTCAACTATGGCCGGGGAATTAATACTTACGCACATTTGGGAATCAAGTGGCTAGAATCACCCTTTAATTCAATTAAGAAGATATTTATGAATATACATTGAGTCATAACTCATTTTTGGTTGGCATGAATTATCTACCTAACTACTCTAATATAGGGTGTAATACAACTCGTCTTTCCTATGCATAAATTATCAAAAAATTTCATTCATATAGTCATTTAAGTACCATTGTATGATAACCTCTTCTATAGTTAAGAGAAACCTTTAGCCGCCAATCTTTCACAATATAAGGGTTTGAATTCAGTTAAAACAAGATTAATTCTTAGACAAGAGATTAATTTCATTAAAATTGATTTTATTTATTAACTCTCAATTACTTAGTACAGCTAAGTCAATTGCTCACAACCAAGCAATCAATATACATATAAAAATTCCCAAATTTAAGAACAATCAAACCATGCTATTCAGACTTAGGTTACATTTATTTCACAAGGAATGCTTTAGCTATTAATGGAGAGGAAGAATATCATCATTCTTGGTGTAAAAGCCATCTCCATGGATTGTCAATTGGAATCTTCAATTTTCAAAACCCTAAAGACTCTCTCTTGTATCCTCATCCCTTATGTTGGACATATCCCTCTCTATATATGTTGTAGGGTTTCCTCCCAAAGAAGGGAAATAGAAAAAGCCCAGCAAAAGAAAAAATCCCAATCAGTCTTCTATATTTTTGTCAATTTGTAATGCTATTTTGACCTATTTAGAGTACGAAGATGACGGGCTTCGAGTATTCCTTCTAGAGCCACCAAGTTTGCCCAATTCTGAGTTTCAGGTAAAAAATTTATGCCCAAAAAACTAAAGCGGGTTTAGAATTTTCTACTTAAGTTGTTTCCTTATTTGAATATGAAAACTTATTTTCTTCATATAATGACCCAAAATGAATTTTGCTTGTTGAAAACTCCTTTAAAAGTCTTCAAGAATTATCCTTGAATGATCTTGGCCATTGAATCACCTTGGATACTCTAGCTCTCGCGGTCTCAATCCATTGATTGAACCCTAAAAGCAATGAAATTAACTGAATTTATGGAGATTACCTAAAAATGACAAAAATCAAGAAAATAGCATAAGTACTACGATGTAAGCATCACTAAGGAGTTATAACATGCGAGTTTAAAGGCTTAAATATGTAACATGCATCGCTTATCACATGGACATGCACCACTTTTGGATTTTACTTTTTAGTTAATTACCATGCTTCCAAAAATTATATTTCTTTCCATTTTCAAATTTTGAACATTTTTTTGGAATTTTTTACAAGAGGATGATGTCATACATGTGATGTTCTCTATTTTGTCCCTTAGTATGGTCTAAACACAGTCGTGAATTGACTATTTTGACCCTAGGACTGGAATTTTGGTAGATTGAGTTCCTGGACTAGAACATAGCCACCATTATAATAGTTTCTATGGGTTTTAAACTTTCTAAATGCAATAGTGATTTTTGTTTGTCCGTTTTACCGTTGTTTTGGATATTCAAAGTTTGAGTTGACATTTGACCTTTAACGGCCAAAGGTGAGTTCAGAAGAGAAGGTAGGCAATATTATAGTGATTTTTATGGTGTTCGGACCTTCAAAGCACAATGGTGATGTCCGTTGGTGAGTTTGACGATTTTGCCCCTATTTTAAGGTTTGGTCAATTATGGTGTTGAAAAAGGGTGGAAACATTGATGAGGGGTGTACCCTAGGATTATTTTTGGATATTTTGGACGCAATGGTGGAATCTGTTCATCGTTCTGACATTCAGATTGAGGGGTTGTAGTGTAAAATCTTAATTTTGTCCTTTTCGAGGGCCTGGTGATTAGGCTTTGGAAAGCGTGTGATATGATTGTTCCTAAGTGATTCCTAGGGTTTTGGGATGCTTCGTGTGCAATGATGAAGTCCGATATCAGATCAAACGGTTTAATTCTTAGTTTTTAGTTTTTGGCCTTATGTGCTCGGGAGATGGAAACAGCACTCCTTTCCTATGGGTAGTGGGATTGGGAATTTGAAAGGGGGAAACAAAATGGGGTTTACACAAACTCAACTGGTTTAATTTTGATATTTAATCGGTTGGTCTTTTCCTGATTGTAGTTCTCATGTAGAAAGTTCAACTAGTTCAATTATTTAATTCAACAAGTTGACTTTTGTTGGGTGATATTCTACCCTCTATACGCTCCTATCCAACTTCAAATATACCTCACGTGTTCCTCACACTAACCTGATCCTCACACTAACCTTGACTAAATGTAGCTCTTTGTCGAATCAAAGTAGGCGTGAGTACCTTGGACCTTGATTTCTGCTTCTGACATCGAGGCTCACATATAAATAGAAAATTATAACTCGATTCAAACTTGTTTTGATACCAAAATATGCCAATTACAATTTTATACTTCACAAGTATAAGTTGGAGAGTTTTGATAAATTGTGCTATAACTCCAATTGAGTTGTCGTAACTTAGTTCTTACCAATGGGGAAAAAGATTTTTCCATAGACAGAAGAGAAATATATATATATATATAGCACATATATATATATATATATATATATATATATATGTGTGTGTGTGTGTGTGTATGTGGCGCTCACGCGCATTTTTGTAATATATATTTGGACAGATATAGACATAGAGAAAGGAAGAGGTAATTGGGATAATAATCCAAAAAAAATTGGGGTAATTTGGACCAAGTGTGAAAAATGAACACTTGTCAATTATGAAATTCCTTAGGTGAATGTTGTCAAATACGAAAATACGTAATCTGGGACATTTCACTCAATACAATTAGAATAGTTTCTCTCTGTTGAATTTTATCTTCCCCGTAAAGTCATCTGTTGAATATTTGACATAAAAACTTGTCAAAAATGAAATTATTCCTACTTGATTGTTTGATCAATTTTTTTTTTATTCTTTGTACGATTTATAGTAAAAAAATGTCAATGATGTTTACAGGTAGCTGTTGATGAAATTAAAAATGTCCAAATTTTCTTGCTTTAATATTTGTTAAACTATGAAAATTGTGTGATTGATCCTTACGCGTTATTTAAATTCATACCATCACATCTAAATTATAACAAATGAAATGCATCACGTGTTGGTCAAAAATTTTCTTTATTTCTTTTGACCTTCTTAGACGTTGCCAACTTTAATAATATAGTTAATCTTATCATAGGAAAATTTCATTACTTTTTGTTTCAAAATAATTGTCTATATTGATATATGTGAGTCACAGATATCAATGTGGATATATATTTTGGGACCGAAAAAGTATTATATAATAATTGTTTACTAGTAAAAAGGATCTCCAGGGAAGTTTCTTTGAATTCCCCAGTGATTGAGTCGGAACAATCGAAATTTAATACTACTACACAAGAAACTCTATGTTCCATGAAAGGCATATGTAGAAAAATATTTTAAATTGTTTCGACTGTACGTTTTGTACTATTTTACATCTAAACTATATATGAATAACATCTATTGTATACCGGGGAGTTCGAAAACAAAAGAAGGTTAAAAGCAATATTTGAGCATATATGGAAGAGCCTTCTAAAGGAAAGGAAAAACAAGAGAAGGAAAGAGAAGAAGTTCGATACCGAGGAGTTCGAAGGCGGCCGTGGGGGAAGTTCGCAGCGGAGATCCGTGACCCAAGTACCCAAAGTGGACGGGTGTGGCTTGGTACATTTGATACGGCGGAGGTGGCTGCTCGGGCTTACGACCAAGCTGCATTTAGGCTGAGGGGTCCTCTTGCAGTCTTAAATTTCCCTAGTGAATATCTTCATGCACCAATAATGTCATCTTCATCAGCATCATCTTCTTCTAGTGTTGGTGGTTCATCGACTGGTCAAGAAAAACAAGTCCTGGAGCTCGAATATTTGGATGACAGTGTGTTGGAGGAGCTTCTTGAGCCGGAAGAAGAGAAGAAGAAACGAATGGAAGATTGAATTTCAACATGCATTTTCCCTCTCTCTTGAATTTCAGCATTCATTTTCCCAGTTGAAGTCTCTCTCTCTCTCTGTCTAGGGTATTTTTCTAGTTGTTGTGAGTTTCCATATTTGATTGGTTGTTTGGGGTTTAACTGGGGAAGTTACCTTATTGATGTAAGGTTCAATGTTCAAACATTTATGATGAAGCAATAATAATTGTTGGGATGATTTTTCCCCCTAAGACTTTCAATTTTGATATTTAATATATAATGCAGTATAGAAACATAATTAACGAAATAGCTGAGTTGTTATGGAATTTCTAAGAATGATCTACAAGTCGAGTTTAAAATTCATAGAACGTCAAGACTTCTCTTGCAAGGAAGTGAAGAAACATAATTGTAAATTAATGAATAACCTAATTTATAGAATGATGCATTTAAGTGTCATCTGCAAGCCAACTGATCAAGTAAATGAAGTATGCACATTATACAAATTATTTGAAGCCTTTTTCTTCACAAAGCTGGACCTTCGTTAGGGCTATTGGAGAGTCAGAATTGCATAAGGAAATGAGCCTAAAATCAGTTTTTGTAAGTTTTGTTATCAGATATGGCTCTATGAGTTCTTGTCATGCCATTTGGAGTTACAAACGAAAATGCTACCTTATGCATCTTGATAAGTGGTGTTGAATTATGTGACTCAGAATTATTACATCCGACCTTGCACAAAGCATGCAAGAGAAGCTTTCAAATTAGCTTCCAAAGGAAGCTTTAAAATTTCTTGGGCAGCAAGTGCTATTTGACTTCCAAAAAGAAGCTTTGTAATATACTTGGACACCAAGTATTTTTGACTTTAAATAGCCTTACACTCATTCCATTTTATTTTTTGAGAAAAGAAAGAATAATGATTTTCAAATAAAGTGACATCCATGAACACAAATCTGCTTTTTGTTTTGGGGTGATAAAACTTGTAGCCCTTTTGAGTGGTAGAATACCCAGCAAAGAGAGATTTAAAATATATATATTAACATCTTTTTGTAAACAAGTTTGAAACTCAAGGACTCTCCTCTAGCCAGAAAATTGGCTGCATAATGGTTTTTTTTTTGGCTCCAACTGTACTAATTTTTATTATCTCTGTTTCACTCATTGGAGTTCTGGTAATCTGTTTTATTTGGTTTCTGGTTTGGCCACTGTGTTGTATTGTCTCTTTGGTTTGCTTATTCCTTATCAGGACATCCTCTGCGATTTCTTTTTGTTTTTTCGGTGTACGGCCCTAACTTTTTGTTGTTTTGATTTTGGATTTCTTATATGGGCTACTATTTTGTGTGTTGGGCTTGCTGTTATAGTAGTCCGTTTCATGAGGTTTGGGTTGGGCTCCGTCAGCCTATCGCAGGCCTGTACAAATTACACTCTTTAATTTTTTATTTTTCTTCAGTGGCTCGAATCGCTTCACTCCTCTTTGAATATAGAAAAGTTATATTATTGTGTTAGAATAATTTTGTATATTTTACACTTATCAATACACTTGCTTTACTTTTCCAAAAAATAAAATTTAATTTTTGAGGTTGTCTGTGCTTTGTATTGTTGGCTTTGTTGCCCTTTTGTTTATCTTTGGTGCTGTGTAGCTTTTGTTGCTGGACTGCTTTAGCCTCACTCTCTCTGTAGGTGCAAATCCTTTTCATCTCATCAACTTACTTTTACCGGAAAAATGAAATAAAATTGAGACTTATATTTTATGAAAAAAAAAAATTGGAACGGATTTGACACCATATATTGTCAGTACATTTTATTTTTATTTTTAATAATTAACTATACTATGATATGTCTTCAAAAAAGTTTATTTTAATATCAACTTGCTAACCTTCCAGCAAGAATTATTTAAAACCTATTCAATACATAATTTGAATATTTTAAAGGTATTGAATAAAAAAATTATTTAAAAATTACATTATTTTAAATTATGTTGATGTGATATGCAGCATCGCACGGGTAAGTATATGAATTGGCATGGTGATAAAATATAATTTTTACAATCAAAGACATGTAAAATATGATTTTTACATCGATGGATTTTACTTCAATTTAGTAATTCACTTTACACATTCATCATCACAATGAGAAGTAAAAGATGGCTTTACATCCATAGATTTGACTTCAATGTCCGTTTGGCAATCACAATTGTTTTAAGCTTTTACTTTGCATGTTAATACGAAATTTATTCAACTAATAAATTATGAATTTAACCTTTAAATGATTTAAACATTGGTATTTAAATGATTAGCATGGATTATGATTATTATCATTTTGGTTGGTGCATGATATGAGACAATATTTTAGAGGTTGCCAGTGTTAGATAAAACGGACTTAATGACATATAAGTTATCTATGTGGTTTATCATTGTTTTATTTGCTATAATAATTGTAAAACGATAATGTGCTTATAATCATGCTTGTGGTAGTATTGTATGATCTTATACATGATGTATATCTGTTGATATGTGGAATCATTATCAGGATATGGTTTTAATATTGTTCAGTATAGGTGGACCAACTGTTAAGTTGAATCCCTTTTATTTATGTCATTGTAAGGATATGGTTATGTTGTTTTATGGTGTTATTATCATTATGGTTACAATATTTTATATATAGCCATGCCCGTTATCAAGATATGGTTATGATGATTTTTACGTGGTCGTGCCATTATCAGGATATGGTTATGATGATTTTTACGTGGTTGTGCCATTGTTAGGATATAACTGAGTATTTATTATTAGGCGTGCCATGATACGAGCTTGAGGTCTTGGAATCAGTGGTTAGAACTGAGGCGTATATTGCTAGTTGAGAAGGGTAGCTGGATATAGGGATGTGTGTTCCCTGGTAGAAAGAGGACTCGTGACCACCTTATGTGCGTTTTGCATGAGATACTCACTATCCGGTTGAGTCTGTCCTTAGTCCAGTGAGAGTCTTTAGTGTGTGTGTGTGTGAATATATATATATATATATATATATATATACTAAGTAGATATTGCATGAGTTAGTTAGGGATGTATCGTTCATTGGGTCTTTGTTTGGGTTGTTATCGAAATGACTTGTTCATTGGTTTTGACCCACTTTTGTTATATTTTTCAGATCTTCGTCAATAGTAGGCTTAGAGGTTGTTCGTGTAGAGTAGATACTACTTTTCATTACTGATAAGTGTCAAATATTACATATTTAAGCGCCCTTAATTGCATTAGTTAAGCCCATTATTTGCTCTGTTTATATAGATTAATTCTATTTTTATGTTTTTGTGTTTTTGCAGGTCTAATTGCAGAAAAGGAATAAAAATAAGGTTTTAAAGGGTTTTGAAGCACAAGTTATTTTGAGCTACATTTCAAGTAATCATCAAAAGGAAATGACATGAAGAAAGGAAGGATGCAACTGGAGCTAAAGAAAAGATTATGTGCCAGAGTAGCAAGCCTGGCGTCCGGATGCAAGAACTAGTGTTCGGACGCCACCTCCCATAAGCTCGCGTCCGGATGCAGCCTTTGGCGTCCGGATGCCATATCATCAGGGCCTCGCGTCCGAACGCCAATCGTCGCGTTCGGATGCCAGACCACGGGCCCCATGTATTTTAATCCGATTTTGTCTATCTTAAGTGGGGGGATTTGAATTTTAAACGAGTTTTTGTATTTTTGAACTAAAGGGAGGATAAAGAGGGGGAAAGACTAAAGGAGCCTGGGTCTAGTTTTTGTTTTGAAAAAGATACAGAGAGATAGAGAGGATGATTTTAAGGGTTCTTGGAGGCTAAGCTTACAACAATGGTGAGAGAAGGGATTCGATTCTTTTCTTCAATCCTGGAGGTTGTTGCCATATTCATGAGAGGCTAAATCCCTTTTCTAGGGATTTAATGTAACCTAAACCAAGTAAACACGGTTTGATTTGTATTTCAATTTGGGGATTTTTATTGTATATATTTAGTTTCATAAATTAGAAGTATTTACATTGACTTGATGTTCTTTACATTGAATTGATACATGTGTTTATCATATGAATATATATTTGTGTTGATTTGTTATCTTGTTTTTGAAATTATATTAATACAAGTATTACACTTGATTTCTTATAATGACAATGGGAAAAAATTTAAGGAACGGTTATATTGGCATGAAGTTGAGCATTTATATAAGTTATACCTAAGAAAGATGGACCATGTTATACCCTTATATTAATGTAGTTAGGTACATGGTCCATACCAACTGAAGATAATTTATGATATTTAATTGATTTCATGTGCTGCAACATACTATTGAAGGACCCTGATAAGCCATACCTAGGGAAGATGGTTTATACCACAATCTAGTTTAGGTGGATGAACCATGCTAACTAAATATGGGTTATGCTTGGTCCTGAATGTATGATCTTCTTAACGATGTTGTAGTAGTTTTATGCTCCTACACATCATTTTATATATATAATTATCAATCCCCAAGTTGAGAGTAAGTTCTACAAGTTTATAAGGTTGAGGTGAAATCAATTCCCTAACATTCTCTTTATAAGTTCAATCTATCCTATTCACATTACTCAAAAATGCATTTCTAAGAGCAATATTCCAAAGAAGGTGAGGTTAACTGAGCAAGCAAGTGCTATCATTTAGTTTAAGTTCAATCTATCATATTCACATTATTTACTGTTTTCTGAAAGTTAAATTCGTAGGTTAAGTGACAAACCAATCAATTTATCATTTTTTTTATCAAATAGAGGAAGTAATGGTATAATTCTGTTTGCTATAAACTAGCAATCCTTATGGTTCGACAATCTCCTACTCTAGCATTAATCTGCAATGATGAATGTGCTATTGGTCTAAGTGGTAATTTTAATTGGTACACATTTGTACACATAAACTTTTTGGCACCATTGCCGGGGATTGCATACGATTTTGTAATCAGAATTTAAAAAAATTTGCTTCACTGTTTGATTGTATATATATTTTCATATTTTAGATGTTTCTGTGTTGCTAGGGACTAAAGACTTTCCAGAAGATTTAATTGCGAAATTTGAAGTCTTAAGGACTTTGGGGAAGTTTTTGATGTTCCTAGTTATACTTTTTTTTGGGCCCCTTGTCGAGGCTATTGCAAAATTCTTGTTTTATTCAGAGCATAGGTCCTTGTCGTGGCCAATTTAATTTATTTTCATTATTGTTGAATTAAGGAGAAAGGGATCAAT